TCTTTCGGGCCCACGACCAGTTGTAGTCTTTCCCAAGTAGCAGAACAATCCTCGTTTGAATGAAAAGTGGAATTTCCCCTCATTTTTTCTTTCTTTATTTTTTTGTGTTAAAAAACGCTTATCACAAAGAAGCAGCTGTGAATGTTGTTAAATCAATTCCGTTGGGAATATATGCATAAGCATATCTTCAAAAGTCAGTTTTTTTCCACCAAACCAATTGCCTATCCCTACGCGGCAAGGGATCAGGACGGTGTCCTCCCAGAGTGAACGACGCAGAAAGGAAGACTCAAACACTCGCTCTGACACGCTATGCGTGCTCCCCAATTCCAATGAAACGGGGCGAATGGAAATGCTGGACAAAGAATAGAAAAGAAAAGAAAAGAAAAGAAAAGAAAAGAAAAGAAAAGAAAAGAAAAGAAAAGAAAAGAAAAGAAAAAAAAAAAAAAAAAAAAAGAAAAGAAAAGAAAAGAAAAGAAAAGAAAAGAAAAGAGAGTAACAGAAAAAGACAGAAAATTTTAGTAAACCAAAATAATCAATCAGAAGGAAGAGGAATATTGAAGGTGTTGATGCAACCAGAGTTAATGTGTCTCAATCTTGACCCAACTTCAGGGCCCATGGAAGACCATAATGGAACATGTTGGGTACTCAAACAGTTCTCTACTTGCAGGCAAATCAGGCAGTGTGGGTGGGGATGGTATCCAATTACCTTTGGGCTCAGTCATGCTTGCTGTGGGGTTATGAGGATCTTGTAACCCCTTAAAACAATTCAAAGAAAAAGGAAATAAATGAATGACTTTGAGACTAAAGGAGCTCAAACAATAAAAAGAGCAGTGAAGGAGATGGATTTCAGGAGCAAGAATATCAAACATAAGAATTACAAATTCCAAAGAAATGAAATGGGAACAAATGTTAATGAACAAACTGATCAAATACAAATGCAAAGGTACAAGGAACATGATGGGGGTAGGAGGGGGTGAAATCAATGATACCATGCAAGAATGCTGAAAGAGGGAAACTAATTTTTGAGATGAAGTGTAATAAAAGAAAAAACAGGAGTGAATGGAGTAAAGGGATGTGATATCAAGTGGCATCCCAGAAAGGAAAAGTCATGACAGGAGGAAAAATTGCTTTACAAGATAAACATGCCTAATTGAACAAAGCATAAAAGGTAAGGACCAGATATCAAAAAGGATTGAGAGGAGGACAACAAAGGGAATTAGAAAGGAGGTATATATCAATAGATTATACAGAGGAAGGCAGGAGAGGAGGAAATGTTGTGGATTGTGAAAGATTCAAAGAGAAAAGGAAATGAAATGAGGTAATTCTTATTATAACATATTATTACATAGAGTACTGTCATTGAGTAAAATAACCAATTCAACTTGAGGCATCTTAAAGAAAATCCAAAAGAAATTGGGCTGAAAGGTAAAGAAGTCAATCCAAATAGATGGAGCTCCAGAGTGGATGTGAAATATGAATGAACAAAGATGAATGAACAAAGAAGAAAAAAAAAAGCATTTTAAATCATAAGGATGGAGTAGAAGCAGGAGGCATGCAAGTGAAGTGATAGATTAAAAGGAGGGGTAATGAAAGGAGAATCAAATTATAAGGTATTAAAAGAAAATGCAGGGGTAGAAGAACATTCAGGGAGTCAAGGAAAAAGACAACATGGGGAAGATCAAAAGAAAAGACTGAAGAGAGTGCTGTAGAAGCAATGAACTCAATTGGGAGGGTAACCTTGAGTGAGATTGAGACATCAAAACATATACAATAATATAAAACAATACAAATTCAATGATGGTCAAGCAAAAGGGAAAGAGTGTTACAGTAGTGGAAATTCATATGGGATGAAATGGATACACAAAAAGAAATTATAATAGAGGGGAACCATTCAAGAAATCAGAGGATGAAGGAAAAGGCAAGAAGCATGGGTAGGGGAGGAGGAGATATATGACACTGTTTGTCCTAGAAAAGGCAGGAGTACAGCCACAAACAAAGCAAATTGCCAGAGAAAACTTGTAGAGATGTGAAGATTGGGGTGATGAAGGAGGTAGGAATAGAGATTGTTAAGAGAAAAGAGAAAGATAATAATGTCTGGGGTAAAGGAACTTCAGGAAAATCAGAGAATCCAGAAGTGAGTAATCATATTCATTAAGACATTGGGGTCAGTTGCACTTCAAGGATCTCCAAATTCCTGGAAGACAAATGGAATATTCATTCATAAAGTTGGAACCAAGTTCACTTAAGTTCACTTCCCAAGACTCAAAGTTCCCACAGGTGAATCAACATCTTGATTGATACAATCCAATTGGGGGATTGGGATATTTCAGGGAAGTGACCCCCAAAGTGGACTTCACTTACTTTGGGGTTAACCTACTTGAATTACTCTAAACCCCCAATTCGGTTTTTCTCCATAAGGGACACTACTAAAATAAAGACTACTGGTGTGATTTCACGTGGGGTAAGAAGAGTAATGGAAAAGTGAGAGGAGAAATTACTTGCATGAAAGTAAGAAAACTCAGGGAGATGGAAATGTGAGCAAGGAAGAATACTACAGATGGAGAAAGGTCAGCAATGCAGGGGAAAATAGAGAGGAAACATAAGATAAGTCATCAACAAAAAACCATATAAGAGAACAAAATACTACAGACACCATCTATCATAAAAAATGACACCATCTATCATAAAAAATGTTGATGGAACCTAAAAGACTTATTTTACTTTGAAGGCAAAAGAGCCCTGAGACTATAATATATACTTTAAGGATCAATCCTTTGAATTAATGATCAAGGAAAGCCCCAAACTAGGAAAATGACGACTGGATTTTGTAACCCTAGGTCTCAGCCTCTTGCATGTGGTTTAACCCTAACCCTAAAGTATGGTCAGCTGAAAGTAGTGATTGTATAAAAAGGCTAAGGGTCCCAGTGAGGCAAATGACCTTTTGGATGACCCATCAGACGGGAAACTCATATTCCATAACCCTGGGCTTAGCCTCTAGAACCTCTGTTGTCATTAGGGTTAGGTACACTAACCCTAACCCTAAGTGAAGTCAGCTGAAAGTAGTGATTACATAAGCGTAAAATATGTGCTACAATTGTAGCAAAAGTTTATTTGTGGAAAGGTCATGGGAGGTTTGAAATTAACTTCAGTAACCCTAGCTCTCAGCATCTGTGAGGTGGATGCAAGCTAGGGTTACGTCCCGTAACCCTAACCCTAACCCTAACCCTAAGGTGTCCCAAAAGTGTTTTTAGGTCATTTGGGAACACTTTTTTTCAGTGGTGTTACCTTGTTACCTCCTCACCCAAATTGGGTAACAGGCGCCACGCCCAGGGCCCTGCGGGCCCTGGGCGTGGCACTAGGGGCTCCTGATGTGAGGCCTCATAGTCGAGGCCACTCAGGCTCCATCCAGCCTTTCGAGGTACCCTAACCTATGCTGGTAAGCCTGATGATTTGGTCAGCAGCCGCCACACTCACACATCAGGGTCATACTGCTTGACCAGACCATGCCGGCCGTGTAGGGTTAGGATTGGGTGAACAAGTTGTACATTCTATTAATCAGGCTCACTCTGATGGAAAGATCCCAAGCGAATACCTAACCCAGCCAAATGTTCAAATATTTCCAAGTTAAAGGATGTACACAATCAGGTATAACCTCAAAATAAGTCCCTAACCCTTTAAACAATCAGAGCAAATATAACCCAAACCCATTGCAGTCCAGTAGTCTAGCTCTTTGATTACTTGGAAAAAAAGCACAGAATGTTAGCACTGCAATGATCAGAACCACAAGTCATTTGGCGAATTTCCAGATGAGCCAAAACAAAATGGAACCAACTTACCAAGTGGAATATAATGTGATGGGGACATGGTTAGGGTTACATCATATTCAAGCATTCAAAATGGCCCCTGAATACCCAGGTGAATGGTCAGAGATGATCTTCATATCACTGTTTACCAGTGCTGGGCATCCATCAGGCACTCACATTGGGTTAGGCTGGAAAGGCAGCCAGCCAATGATCCTGAGCCCATGCACCAGCAACATCATATTTCTTGCTAGAGGTATGTTCAAAGGAAGTGTTAGAGGCCGGGTTGGCAATCCCTTGTGCCAGCAACATGATGTTATTTTGCTTGAGGCATGTCCAAAGAAAGGATGGGCTTTGTGTATCTTGAGGCAGGTGAGAGTGCAGGTTTAACCAATCCATGGATCGCCTATTGAGGACCCAGGAGTATGCCAGCAAAGGATATGATCAATGGGATCTATTGTGTGGGTTGGAATCGTATTCAAGCAAACAAAATAGCCCTTGGCTATCCAGATGATCAATATGACCTTCTTCTTACGGTTCACTTGTGCAGTCAGGCACAGGAATAATAGCACTCATGGTGGGCTTATCTGGGCAGAGAGCAAGCCCAGGTTGGCGATCCCCACAGCCAGCAACCTTATGTTTTTTGCTGGAGACATCTTCAAAGGAAGGATGGGCAGTGCGTTTCTGGAGGCTAGTAAGAGTGCGGAATGAACTTGTCCATCCATATTATTGAGGACCCAGGAGTCTGCCAGCAAGGGATGTGATGGATGACATCTATTATGATGTTTGAAAGTGTTTTCAAGCAATCCCAATAGCCCTTGAATACCTGGATGATCAGTCTCAGCTACGTAGGGAGAAAGCCAGCCAAGGCTGGTGAGTGGAATGCTGCGCCAACAACAATATGTTCTGCGGATGGTCTGTTATGGCCATGTAGGGTTAATACTATATCCGTAGGTCTTTGCAAGAAAAGTCTGTCCATTGTTTGCATATACGAGTCATTCATTTTGTTGAGGAACAGAAACACAAGTTGAACATAATGACTTTGGAGGATTTGGCCAATCACCAGCTTGTGTTCCAAACGGCCAATCCTCCAATAGACTTTTGCAGGTGGACCAAATGGCCTGTTGTCAAGAACGAATGTCATGTCTTGACTGTATTCCAATTGGAATGCAGTCAAGAGATTCCAACCCTTTGCCTAAACACCTGAGAGTTGGAAGGTGATGTGTCAGCTACCCTGCCAAGATCATGGGCTGGTAAGTTTCCAGGCCATGTAGGGTAAATCATACAATCACTGGTTTTTTTGTGGAACAGAAATACAAATTGAACATAATGACTTTGGATGTTTAATCGGATTTGGAGCATTTGGCCTCATCACCACCCTGTGTTTCCAACTGGCAATCCTCCAATAGACACATGCAGGTGGACCAAATGGTGTGTCGTCAAGACCAATTGCATTCCAACCAATTGGCACGATCCCCACAGGTTTCAACTCCACCTGGCAATCCTCCAAGAGAGTTTTGCAGGTGATTGAAATGGTGTGTTGTCACGGACAATTGTCTTGACGGCTTTCCAATTGCCACCAACCCCACCTATTCCAACGATTTGGCCAATAACTTGAGGCTTGGCTGGTGATGTATCAGATACCATGAGAAAACCATTTCGGTGAGTTTCCTGGCCATGTAGGGTGAATCGTAGTAACTCGTATTCGTTGGTCTTTCCAAGTAAAATATGTCTATTGGTTGCATGTGTTTCCAACTGGCAATCCTCCAATAGACACATGCAGGTGGACCAAATGGTGTGTCGTCAAGACCAATTGCATTCCAACCAATTGGCACGATCCCCACAGGTTTCAACTCCACCTGGCAATCCTCCAAGAGAGTTTTGCAGGTGATTGAAATGGTGTGTTGTCACGGACAATTGTCTTGACGGCTTTCCAATTGCCACCAACCCCACCTATTCCAATGATCTGGCCAATAACTTGAGGCTTGGATGGAGATGTAACAGCTACCCTGAGAAAACCATTTTGGTGAGTTTCCTGGCCATGTAGGGTGAATCGTAGTAACTCGTATTCGTTGGTCTTTCCAAGTCAAATATGTCTATTGGTTGCATGTGTTTCCAACTGGCAATCCTCCAATAGACACATGCAGGTGGACCAAATGGTGTGTCGTCAAGACCAATTGCATTCCAACCAATTGGCACGATCCCCACAGATTTCAACTCCACCTGGCAATCCTCCAAGAGAGTTTTGCAGGTGATTGAAATGGTGTGTTGTCACGGACAATTGTCTTGACTTCTTTCCAATTGCCACCAACCCCACCTATTCCAATGATCTGGCCAATAACTTGAGGCTTGGATGGAGATGTAACAGCTACCCTGAGAAAACCATTGAGTTGGTAAGTTTCCTGGCCATGTAGGTTGAATTGTAGTAAATCGTATTGGTTGGTCTTTCCAAGTAAAATATGTCTATTGGTTGCATCTGTGAGTCATTCAATTTCTTGTGCTAACCCTAATGACTTTGGATGTTTAATTGGATTGGGAGGATTTGGCCTAATCACCAGCCTGTGTTTCCAACTGGCAATCCTCCAATAGACGCATGCAGGTGGTCCAAATGTCATATTGTCAAGAACAATTGTCTCAGCCGCATTCCAATTGGCACAAACCCCACAGATTCCCACAATTTAGCCAATAACATGAGGCTCGGATGGAGATGTATCAGCTACCCTGACAGCATCATTGAGTCGGCAAGTGTCCTGACCATGCAGGGTGAATCCTAGTAACTTGTATTGGTCGGTCTTTCCAAGTCAAAAGAAGGATCTCATTGACTCTGCAAATGAGGAGAGCCTTGAGGACCCCCCCTTGTAGGAAAAATCATTGAGCCACTCCTTATGGAGTGTCACATTGAAACTGAGAGTACCAGATGGCTCAATGAACCATCATGTCCAATGTACACGTAATACATCGAAAGATAGGTATTAACTACTCTCATTATCTCTGAAATTACCGGCAGCGGGTTAGAAAAACCCACTCTGGTAGGTAAAAAACAAAAACAAAAAACCTAGAAAAGAACCCAAAATCATATTATAGAGACCATAACAACTTCCTCTTCATAAAACAGGATAAACTTCAACAAACAAACGATATAAGTTGGCACAAAATGAAGTAGCCTTCTCCCCAAGCCACTCACCAAAGGCACGTGGGGTTAGGGCCTGGGGATCATCAAAGTATCTTGCCAACAACTCCCGGCGACGATGATAAACAAACCAACAGAATTCGTGTGCCGTGTCACTCATGCCCGACCTGCAATTGCCACCTGCTGGTGGCTCATGAAACACAAAGAGATCCAATGCCCCAGCACTTAGTCCACATTGGTAGCACACATTGCGTATCCATTTCCGTCGAAGGATCGCCGACATCCGAGGCACCACACAAGACTTGGTAAAGTGTTCGGCTGATTGAAAGACATCAGCAAGGATGAGACAGGCAGGAGAGAAGTCACCAGGAATAAAACAAGAACTCAACTGGATCTGCAAGAAAAGCAAGCCGAATTGAGGGCACAGATATGTTGACCACGCTCAACCCTCTCGTGCGTCTCCCCAAGACACCAACCACAACAATTTGCAAATCGCTTGAGCAAATCGGCAATTCCCACAGCTAGTCTGTGTTCATTTGTGAGGAGAGCTGTTGCATGCACTTGATTAGTATTAGGGACCTGTGGAATCGTGCGAGGGGTGATGAGACCGCCAGGAGCTGGCCGTTGACGGGCCAGAGTAAGACCTTGCTGTGGGGGTTGAGGACGAGAGCTTGATGTTGCGAGGGAGCCCAATCTGGGAAGATCAATATCCATATCTTGACCGTGAACACCCGTAGTAGTTGAAAGAGAAGTCCCTTGAGTTGCGGTTGATTCGCTTGGTCGCCCGCCGATTGTGGCACACTTTGAACACTTTGCCAACATCCCAGGACTTAAACAAGAGGATGGGGTTTCATCGAGCACACTGGAAATAGTGTGCACAGGACAGGCACCTGGGTTGAGCAGATTGGCTGTCAGTTGATCCGGAGTCCAAACGCTGTGATGTTGAGAAACCAAGATCACTTTGGCGTGGCGTCCATCTCGTCCGGCTCGGCCTGCTTGCTGGAAGACTTGGTTGATGTTGTCCATATTTGGAATCCCCAACACCATCACCCTCCGAACATGAGGATAGTTGATTCCGGTTCCAAATGCACAGGTGGCCACCATAACACATCGACCAGTAGAACCCCATTTGCTAGCCTGAGCCGCTGCCACGTCCGAGTCCAGTCCAGCATGATAATATGCCACGGGTATCTTTTCCTCCTCCAACATCCCAGCCAATTCAGTGACCCCCTTGTGTGATTGAATAAACACCATGGCCCTAGACTTGTCTTCACCTTGGCAACCCTCCTTCCATTCTTGAAGGACTAATCCAAACATATCCGCAGCACATCCCAATTGTCGGTTTTTGATATCCCAAAGAAGTTCGGGTCGCACGGTCGATTCTCGGAATGATTTGACTTGGACCAGATTGAAGACTCCCTGGAGCAACTCTTGTTGTTTGGATGGTGCCAAGGAGCCAGTCATGAGGACAAACTGGCCAGTAATACTGCGCAATCGTGCAACCCCAGCCATGTAGTTTCGATAGGTTCGATCATCAAGGTATTGATGCGCTTCATCAATAATAAACCGATGTGGATTGATAGCGCGGATCGCAGTGAAAAATCCTATCTGAGATGCAGCCTCGACGGAAACGACAACGACTTGAGTTTGGTGAGAAATTGAAATCCCCGAAACTTGATCAATGTAAACCGCCTGGATGTGATGTTGCGCCAAGATGTCCATAGTCTCTAAACCCAAAGCCTTAAGGGGCTGGATGACTACTGTGACCCGATTTGATTCGACCAAAGGCGGCAGGAGATAACCCAAAGACTTTCCACCGCCTGTCCGAGCAACAACGAGGAGATCCTCTTTGGCCTCCAAGATGGCCGTCATCCAGCGTTCCTGGAAAGGAGATTTCCAATTGGCTGATGGATTGTGGGTAAACCTTTGCAAAGCTTGCTTGGCCAATAGAGAAGCTGACACCTGAATCACCGGTGTGATTGAGGGAGGGGCAGGGTCGCTGTAATCCCAGTCAATCTGAAGACCAACCAAAAGAGTAAGTCTCACACATTACAGACGGATAGGAAATAATCAGGCTGCTTACCCCCCAGAACTTTTGCCACATCAAAGAAGCTTGAGAGAATTGAAACTCGGATTGTCGATCAAGGCTGAACCCGCTGGTTCCACCGTAAATATGATTGGCTGTTCGACTCGTATGATTCCGTTGAATATCCAGCACATGATTTGGCATCTCGTCATCTGATTCGTCTTCGCCAAGTCAGATTTTGGGATGCTCTTTGAGCCATTGATCACATACAGCCACTGAAAGATGCCTCCAAGCAGCGACTCCCAAGGGGGCTAAACCGTGTCGAACAAATGTTTTGTGAAGGGCTGAACTCAACGCCTGCGTATTCATAAGACCCGTCGAGGTATTGACCCAGAGATGAGTCAAGAGTTGTTCGACATGGTCAAGTTTGTTGACTGCCTGGAGCAAACAACTGTATACAAGGTTGTTAGAGGTACATACGTGTATTGAGTATATGTAAAATAGACTTACATTTGAGCTGGGCGGATAAAAGCCAAGTAGTGATGGAGATGCTGAGAGAGCAAACCAGGCAGAAATGTCACTCTGTTCTTTCCATGGCCTGACATGGACTGGCCTTTGTGATAGGTGGTGCGGATCATAAATGATTGTCCTCGCCAAAAAACGTTGCGGATGCCTTCAGGGGTGTTGATAATCTTGATTGACATCTCTTCGGTTCCTCGAGCCGGTTGACCACACCCGCAATGAAAGCAAAAGTAGAGAGATTGAGTGAGCTCGTCTGACAAGTCGAGCCATTTCTGAACTGCTGAGTAGTTCCATCTTTCATCGTCCCGGTAAAAGCCCCAAGGGTCTCTGTTGCGTAACAAAGCGTTCACCAAGTACCGATCGTCATAGAGCTTGTGATAAGCTTCTGAAGCCTTCAAGTAATTGAAGCCAATGTCGGTGACGTGGGGAGAGTCCTGATAAGCAACCCGCTCAAAAGGAGGTAGCGTGACATGCTGAGAGAGTTGTCCCAAAAGAGTGCCAATATGCTCAAAGGTGCTCTGGATGGCGCGCTTGACATCGTTGAGGGAGACTGAGAGGTTGTTGATATTGAGGACCGAGCATTCGGAATCGACCCAGTGAGTGGTTTCAGGAAGTCCTTCGGTCATGGTGACGGATGCCATGAGGTGCATCCAGGACCGGAGAGCCCAAAAAGGAGAATTGAGAAGGCCTTCGGTAATATAATTCCACATACTATCCAAGTTGTTGTCGAGTCCTTTGTCTAGAATAACAAGAAGGTTGTTGTTGTTGTTGTCGTCATTGTTGTCTGAGGGAGAGGCGGACTGTGTCGAAAAACGTAAATAAAGATTGATAAAAGCCAACCGTAGACAATAT